AATTTTTTTCGCCCCCCGCGCCAAAAAAAAGAGAGATTTTTCTTTCAAAAGAGATAAAACCTCCACGGCTCCCCAATTTCCCCCCTTTTTTTAGTTTCCCCCCCCCTTATTGCGCGGACACAAAGCGCCCCCCCTATTTAAATCCGCCCCCCCCCCCCCCCCCCCCCCCGTTTCCCCCTTTTTTTTGTGGTGGAAAAAGGTAAAATTGAAGGATTAGCAGCCCACCTGGCCCCCGCATTTAAATGAGCCGGGGTAAAAAAAAAAATTAAAAAAATTTAAAAAAACAAACCAAAAATAGCCCGATTCGTTCAAATACACAAGCCTATCGATTGCAACTTTTGATTCCATAGACAAGCACACAATTCATTACGTAGATCTACGTCAAGACTAGCTTATTATTGTAATAATGATCAGTTGCCGGGGGCGAAAAGACTGACGCGTATGCGACGTTCAACGCCCGGACCGATAGTGGCCCCCCCCCCCGCCCCACCACCCTCCCCGACACGCACACAGCCACACGTGTGCAGGCCGCCCATCCGACCCCGTCACCCGCTAACGAGCCATCTTTAATTGCTTCTGATGACCTCTTGACAAATAAACATTTATTAGAAGCGCTATAACTTTTCAGGCCGGCCTCAAATTCATCATAAGATTAAAACTCGGCTCCTGCACAAAACGCCTTTTTGCCCGAAGTGATCCCGGTCTCTACCCAGCCTGAGGCGAGTCACGAGTGAGGCAGGACAGGAAGCCGGATTCACGAGTCACAGGAAGTCGGAAGTGATGTCATGCTGGACAAGAATCAGAGTCCGAATAATATTTTTTCATATTCGGACTCGAGTCCGAATAATCACTTCGTTTTTTTTACCAGACTTGTTTATTTGTAAGTATTGTTGTGGATTTAAGTTGATATAGATATAGATCTAGCTGTCCAGTTATTTAGATCTCTAGATCTAGATCTAGATCAAGTCAAGCTGTTATACTGGATTCTGAATCTAGCTAATCTAGACCTACACCTTATGATGATTATGGTGCAAACCAACACAAGCAGAAAAAAGTTGAACATTAACTGTCAAGTTTTATAGATCTAGTTGTGGATGTACAGTATCTGTACAAGGGAGAAAGCATGGCTTTGGATTTGGAAATATATGGATTAACACAAGCAGAAAATTATGTAGGCTAGATCTAGATTCTAGGTCTATGCAGTATGCAAGGTATGTTTTTTTTCTCACTTATTTTCTTGTTAAATTTAGGCTTGAATAGCCAGAAATGGCATACTTAGGATGCCCTGAAACCAAAAACTCTCAAACGTAAAGGGGACGCTGTCCCCCTTCAACCCGAAAATCCTCGAAAAATGACATCAGCTGCTGGAAGCTCTGAGGAGGGCCTGCTTTCACTTTCCCCCATTCTTTATCGACAAGTGTTAGGAGAGTCTGCTACAAGAGGGAAAATGGAACACTCCGGGAACTACGTCTTGCGGGTTAAAAAAAACAAAACTGTGTAGTACATGCAGGGCCAGAAGTAAAAAAAGTTAAGAAGGCAAACCAGAGCAGATATTTCTGTGTAAGTTAAAAAAGTGACTTACTCGTATTCTATGGCGAAATGTGCAACAATTTAATGTGTACAGAGCAAAGATCTATACCGCTCAAGGAAACAAGTTTAAGAAGCAACTCTGCTGCGCAAAGAAGTATTGAAGAAAGTTAACACAGCTGGAGACTTTACCATAGTCGATCTCTAATAAGAAACCATTGTCACCAATACTTGAAGCGCCCAGGGTACACAAACATCACAAAACACATTTGCTCACACACAATAGCTCTTACATCTAACCAAAACATCATAGATGCAGCCCACGCAAGCAGACAAATCTGATTTATTAAACAACAGCTATGCTGAAGTACACCACCTCTTCACTTACACATAAAATACAAGAAACTGAGTTTGACATTATATTATAAAGAACAGCAGTTTGTGCATATTTGAAGCTATACAGACGACTATCTCCAAACGCAGTCATACCCAAACAACTCATATTAGAGCACCACTGTCTGCCTTCTATTTAGGGATATGGATTTGGCCTGGGTTTAAAGGGCGAACAGGGTGGCGAACTTATGCACTCCAGCATTGCAAAACTGGAGAAGAGGACAGTGGGAATTAAAGAAATGGAAACA